CCTTCACTCTGAGTGAGGAAATATTCCAATTTACGACTGTAACCTCCCACTGGTGGTGTCGTTCTCGTGGACCCTTTTCTGACATGCTATAATGCCATCGCGCTGTCTGCCTCCTCCGTTCAGTACGGGTAGCGACTCCGTCAGCCATTGTTGTACTGCTACGCCCACTCCTGGCAGAGGGCGATGAACAGGTTTTGATCGTCGACTATTCGCAGTCTGCCTTAGACCGCGCGGCCCCTGGTAACCCGGGCTACGTCCATGCCGGTATAATGTTCGATGGTTGCGATAGCATGAGATGGGAATGGTAAGATTTATGGAGATCTCGTCACGGTTTCCAACTCTGCTCCTTTGTCATTCGGGCTTCACACCGGCAAAGGAAAGACAGTGAACATTATTCATGATTACTAAGTAGGTACTTTGAGATTTTGTTGAAAAGATCGTGGTGTGCTGTGCTTACTGTAATACAGCCGCAATTACGGTAAAAGCGTTAGGCAATTTAATTCTGATGTCCCTGATATCGAACCTTTTCATGTAAAAAATTTACCAGGATGCTGTAAAGCTCATTTATTTTCTTTCGGTTGTTGGTTATTGCTTATGTTCGTTGTTCGCAATTAATGCGGGAGTGGAAGATTTTGCAACTGAATCGATTACACTACTTGTTATCAGCTGTCGTTGCAAACATTAATTTTAATTATTTTCCTGTTTAGTTTTGAAATTCCACCGGTTGCCTAGTTTTGGTGCGCAAACACATTTTTTAATTCACTGTATATGGCGTATAATGGATTACCGATTGTAGAAAAACCATGAAAACGAGAAAGGTGTTGCTCTAAAAAATCGGTTGATGCGAAGTACAGTGATACGTTGCTGATGCAGAGAATTGCATAATCATTATCTGTTTGAATGAATGACCCCTTGGACATTTAAGAAACATAGCTTCATGTAATTTGATTCAGTAGAATTGTAATTATTTGTCCTAAAGAATGTATGTAATATAGGTGGCTCTGCTGATATCAGACTTACAATTTAAAGTTCGCTAATTTCAACTGGAACATTCACTGTTAATTCTTTCGAAGTACAGAAAAGTATCAACTCGTGGGAAGAACAATGGGAATATTCTCTCTAATGGCTGTGAACGCTGTTTTCGTAAATAATTCTGTCATGGATGCTGGCATGAAAATCAGAACTCATCGGATCAACACTGCATCATAGGCTCCGTAAATAAACAGTGCAACATGTGACGCAGTCCGCATTTTCATCGACTCAGCCTACCTTATGAGTACGTTGAACAAATACCAGTCATATAATCATGGATGAATACGATAATTCCTAAGGTTGCAAGCGTTACTTTTTTTTCTTACGCCGTAAGATCAAAGTGTCGCTATATGTTTATTTTTTAATTAACTTTTTCATTTTCTTCAGCAAGGATTTCAGTTCGTAGTACTCAGACAATCACTCAAAGTACGATTGGTGAGCTACTCTTCTACTTAGTGTTCAGACAGTATGATGCCCTCAAGTGATTGCGCCAAAGCTACAAAATTTATTTTAATGATATTCTATGTTCCGTAGTTTAAATGGCTGCTTGACGGCTTGATGTTAAAAATTATACTCACATTTTTTCTTTTAGAAATGAAATTCTGTTTAACTACTATGAATTTTCGTACTATTCTTCATCAGTAAGTGGTGTATTATGATACTATGAGTAATGATCCATGTATGTTTACAATTTAGTCAGCTGCACTGCTCTTCAATCTGGTACATCTGCTGTCAATGGATACGAACGATACTTTATGGTTTGTTGTACTGTACTTTTTTGGGACATGTGTCTAACGTAAATTATGCCGTTTACCCTCTGTCCTGGGAAATTAGACTATATTAGAAATGACGCTTAGAAGATGAGAGTGTAATGCTGAGGTGAATGGTGACCGAAACAAGTTTCCTCCTGAAGGTTCAGTCTACATTATCTCATTTTGGCATAGACTGAAAAGGAGTATTATTTGAAGCGTTTCAACACTTTAGTTCTAAGGCTTCGATTATCGCATCGTATAACAGTAACTGTTCGAAAGCGGATCTACCTATACACTGTTCCTCCTTGTTGCACGCTGACTTTCTGATGGACATTTTCCATGTTTCGATTCCTATACGAGAAGGTCGCGGCCCGGAGTAAATGGTGTATGCTTAACCAGTTTTGCTTTTTAATTTAAACATTTATTGAGGTCACCTGTCCCTTGAAGAAAATCGAGTCATTCCTTTGGTTTTCTTGCCACTGTACCCTCATTGTGCGTCTAAGCCAACGTTGTCGTACGCAGTTCAATCCTCGTAGTTAGTCTCATTTGTAGAACGGTGTCCTTCAGTATAGCAATATTAACTTGACTGAGGAATGGTATGGGCTGATCCTTGTAGAAAGAGTTAATTCTTTCTCAGTCTGAATATTAGACAAGTTCTCGAAACTGCAGATGTGGACGATCTTCCTCTTCAAAGAAAAAGGATTAAACGGTGCTGTAGCTGAAAATGGAAGCAGGCGAGGTACTGGAATTAGTCAAACTCCTTAACGATTTTATCCCCCTGTTCTTCGTGTATTCTGTTGTCATAACGTTTGACTTTACAAATTAAGGAAGAGGCTGGTATCCGAAGTTCTGTTGCGTGCAAAAACCGTCAGCTGACGAAGTCCGCTCACCGCCCTATTCACCAGTGCTGCTGGTCTGCTTGCTCCACGTCAGCAGGATACCTGACCACCTATCTTGAAGCGTGCCTTCTTTTTAGAATGAGACTCGTCTTTGCCTGTATCAACTCTGTTTCAGAGAGAATGTCCAGAATGGTGTTGAATGGCAAAGGCGAAAGCACTGTGGCAGTAGAACACCAGTCAGATAGCCATCCTCCCACTTTGATAGCTTACATGGTGCCTGAATAATCTTTGCC